GTGCATTTTTTTCACCTCACTGTTTCTATTCTTATTCTGTTACTATTGAAATACATATATATTACCAAAGCTGTAAATACATGTCTACTTAGAAGATGTCTACAGTAATAACCCTGGTTTATCTTGTAAAGATGGATTCTTCAGCAAGAACCAGCATTCATTAAAGCCTTGCGAAACATGAAAATGATACTTTAAAACAAAGAGTAAAGTTTTAAACAACAACATCCTTTTGAAATTGAACCAGCCAACAAAGAAGAGCTACACTATACCTATGTGGCTTTTCCTATGTAAGGAGTGTAAGGAGCAAATCCAGCAACAGCTGACAGAGGTCAGACAAGGACAGTTCATTTTCTGGGCATCAGGGGTAAATATAATTACTGTAGTGCCCAAAAATAAAATGTAAGCAAAATTGAACTCATCCACTGGATCCACATTCATGGAGTTTTCTTGCCTTGCCCTCATCTGCTTGCTATTTCCAGGATGCAACTAAACAAGTAGGTAAATAATATTAATTTGAAGAAAAAATTAGAGGAATCGCATTGTAAGAAAAAGGCAATTTGGGCAATATGACTAATCATTTAAACAAACTGAATAATATCTGGGTGGAAACAGTCTCTAAGGCAAGAACATTGGTTTCTGTTTAGTAGAACAAGGAAAATGGATATTGGGATTGGATATAAGGTCCTATATGAACTAGAGAAAGAGGTTTTTTTCCATTTTCATAGCAAAAATCTTTGTGATTTAATATATGAATAGACAAGATTCAAACCAGAAATACTCCAAAGTGTGAAAGGAGAACTGAATAAAAAAAGCAGTAAGACTCTTGCTATAGTCACAGGTGTCCCTAAGATAGAGGGAAATCATATAAATGATATATATATCTAATGATCATTTGACACCATCAAAAACTTTTAAAAAATAAAGAATTCTTAACTCTGACTAAACCTCCATTACTAAAAAACTCAAGAATTCCCTCCCTCCCCCCCTCTCCCCAAATCAAGATGACTGAAAGAACCAGTCTGATTAACTTTACAGGAGACATAATACACCTCTGAGGAAGAAGCAGTCTCTGAAATCCTTCTCAGATACGGACGTGCCAAAACTTAGGGCATGCATCAAAGATTAAGGAAAAATAAAAATTAGCAGGTCTCCAACAATCTATGTAACCAATAATAATTTGACATTAAGGGGGGGGGGGGGGGGGGGGAAACAGACAAGTAACATCCCACTTTGCCAAACACCCACAAAAAGATCCTTAACATATAAACATGACAGAGGATACCTCTTCAAAAGAAGAAAAGACACAATGGGGCTGGGGTTCCTTCACTAAATTCCAAAACATCGAGCATAATCTAGAAAGTGCAGAGACACAGATAGGGAATGAAGAAGTTATATACACTACCACGCACCTCCCAGGTGTAAAGAGAGAGATAAGAGAGCAACAAAATTACTTTCTGCTTCTACCAGTTCAACTCACAGACCAGAGGACCCTGCTTCTGTCTCCAGTGCTGCCCTCCCACCACTTGAACAAGTCGGAGAAGAGAGGATGGGATTGTGAAATCCCAACAATCCTGTGCAGTAGACCCACTGCCACACTGACCTTTCCCCTTCAGCTTTATAGAAACAGCTTTCTCCTGTTTCCAACTAATACAGTTAGCCCTGAGCTCAAGCTGTGCTTCTGCCTGGAACACTTCAGCGGCACTGACATGCAACTGTAACGACCCTGCCAGCATGTGTGATGGAATTTGTTTTTGCGTTAAAGATATAATATTGTTTAGGTTCAAAGTAAAGCACTCACCAGTCAGAAAGTTTCCTGTGCAACTTTAATTCATCCCCTGGTGTGTTTATTCCTATTATCACCATGTTTAACTACAGGAGCACTTAGTATGTTTTCCAGTAGGACCCCTACTTGCTCGGCATAGTGGGTGGACAATACTCCAACAATCAATCAAGGCTAAGCAGGGATAAGGAAATCCACATGATGGCTCCTCCACTTGTTGCAGGAGTTGTAAATAGTAGGCAAAAAGATCAAGGAGAGAAGGGAGAGCACGATATTTATGAGATTTTGTATCTGTCACTGCCTCACTGCTATGTGAGTATCGGGCTAAAAAAAGGTGCTTGTCACTAGACATTAACTGCATGTTCTCAACAGAACCCGACATGAAGAAGCACCCAGCACTTTTAATGGCCACTGAATATAGACATCCAACTCACATTATTTTCTGAAGAAACCAGCACAGCATGGAGGCAAGGGAATTTGAATTCTAATTCTGTTCCACCATTGATTGTTTTTTGTGACCCCAGATCACATCTTGTTTATTACGCTAATTTTACCAACGAGAAAACAATATTCCATCATCTCAAGGAGGTGCTGAATCAATACTTGTGAGCCATTAAAATAATACATTAAGAAGCACCCTCAAAGAAGAGCATGCAGAAATTAATAACTACCTACTCACTGCAGTCTTTGTATTGTGTAAGGGTTGCTTAATGAATAGTAAGGATATTACAGAGCTCCCTTCCTTCCTCCATTACCATACATCTTCACTGCAGGAATAGTTTGAGCAAAAAGAAGCAGAAGACTACATAATCTAAGATTACGAGAACCTAAACCTATCCGTGAAAGAACTGCTTATAGTCTGAACTACTCTAGTATCTAACTTTCATGCACTCGACTGGAAACATAAAAAAAAAAAAAAAAGGGAAGGAGATGTTAACATAACATGCGCAAACTGTAAAAAGTAATTCTGTATTTTTTAAAAAAGGAATTGGGAATTGAGTTTTTACAATGTATAACCATAATTATCCTTACATTTGTTTCCCTTTGATAATTCTACAAGTAAGGATTAAAGGTTACAAACTCTTAGTTGTTCCTCACCACCATCTTCACCCTGCTAGATTTCTGCTTACTCCATAACTATACTGTCATAAAACTAACACGTGTTAAGCTTATTTTGCATTGAATCCCCCAAAAAAATTGCATGTGAATACAAAAATTGAGAATATTACTATTACAGTTGTAGAGATGTATTATGTAGTATTTCTGCTACTGTAATAATAAACCAAAGATTTAAAGATCATTGGTAAACCATTCCATTCTCCTCTTAACTTCAGTTCTATAGACATTACTAAATAAACCATCTTGTTTTCTTCCAAAAAAGCTGAAGCTGTACACACTGTACAAACACTAGATAGCTGTATGCAATTTAGGCCACTGATCCTAGTGACTCTGAAAGAATATATTTCCTTGCAGAAAAATAGGTGTTCTCAGTTTCACTTCAAAATACAAACCTTGGTATCATTCTTCCCATAGGAGACTGGATAAAGATGGGGAGAAGGACAAGTTGTGTAAATAAGGCACCATGACATAAAATAAATCACAGTCTGGAATGATCACATCTGCATCACACCCTGCCCTCGAAAAAGTCCTAAAAGCACTTAAAACATTGAAGAGTTTCAAGACCAGCTTTACCCAGTGAAAATAGCTCTGAAACAAACACAGACACTCTTCATGTGACCACAAGGTCCAGAATACAGTAAGACCACAGAAACTACCAAGGTTTGGAAAGGCTCTCTAAGGCTATTTTTTTTTTTTTTAATGATTAAGAATCTATGCCGTAGGAAAAAAATCATCAGCAGCTTTCCTTTTTTCTCATGGCCTTTTGTGCAGATTTTAATACAGATGGTATGATCTGCAAATAAGGTAGTTACAAACTGTGGTTAGGAAAACACAGGACAGTTGGCAGAAGTGCTTTGAAGATGAAGAAACTGACCGGTAAGAGAAATACGCTTCAAGCATTAACGCTTACAACCAAAATGTTTAAAAAATTAACAGTCTTCAAAGGTGATGAGCTACAGTAGACTCTAACAGGTGCCCAGCCATGTAATCAAGTACTTCATTTCAGAGGGAAGATTATGAAAAAGCATGGGTAATTTGAACTGCTTTAGAGCTATGCAAGTTCCTGTGGCAGAAACAGAAGTTCTCAAAAGAAACACAGTCCCACTAAAACTTAAATTGTTTCAGGATAGCAAAGCCTTTTATGAGTTTTTCATACAAGCAAAAGAAATCCCAAACTAGAAAGCTACAATTTGTTTTAATGGACAGCAAAAAATAAGTTTTTTAAAAATAAATAAATAAATAAATAGAAGTCTTGAGCATAAAAAACAAGATCACCGGTATTTTTAAGTCTCTACTAACAGTACTGCTGGTAACTTTTCACGGTGATAAATCATCCCACTCCTGTGCTCCAACGGGCCCGTAAGAGAGCGGGTCACAGCCAGACGTGTTTGACTGACATGACAATATCCAGCAACCATCCTAATTCATTTCCATGCCATTAGCCTCCGCTGCTCAGCGGGGAAGTTCTTTAATTTTTGCAGTTAACTCGGGGAACCGACCCGGCTGGCACCAGAACGGCGCGGATTAACGCGCCGCTGTACCTGACACACCCGATCGCTCAGCGGGTACACTCAGCGCTCGGAAAGGGGCCCGCGGGGCCTCCGCTCCCTTCCGCACACGCGTGTCAGCTTCCACCCCCGCGATGTAGCGCGGCGGCTGTCCCGAACACCTCACCCCTTCCCCCGGGGCGGGGGGGGGAGGCTGCGAGCGCTCTGCGGCAGGCGGGAGCCACACACACCCCACACCCCCCCCCCACCCGCCTTCCTCATCTCGGGTGCGCCGGGCAGCTGGGCCGGGGGGGGGGGGGGGGGGGTGCAAAGCCAGCGCGGTGCCGGAGGGCCACCGCAGCGGGAGGAAGTGACCGAGGGAGAGAAATTGGCGCGGAGGTGGAACCAGCGAGCGCCCGGCGCCGGAGCGCTCCGCCGCGGCTGCGGCTCAAGGGGCTGGTCCCGTGTGTGTGTCCCCCCCTCCCGCCCCGGCTACCCCGGCCCGTCACACCCCCGGCCCGTCACACCCCACGCCTGCCACGGCCCGCCCCCCTCACCGCCCTCCCCCCGGGAAGCCCGCCCTCCCTCCCTTCCTCCTTCCCTGCCGGCCGTACCTGCCAGGAGGCTGCCGACCTCCTCGGGGATGGCGAGCGCGCCGTGCATGTTGAGGGCGGCGGGGACACCCCGATCCCGATCTCGGCCCCGCTCCCCGCCCCGCCAAGGAGGAAGCGAAAGCCCCGCCCCCCGGCGGCGGCGGTGCCGTGGTGGGCGGGGCTTAGCGCCGCGGTGGGCGGGGCTTGCGCGACGCCTTACTCCCGTCCCTACTCGCTCCCCGTGCCCCCGCCCCGGCGCTGCGCATGCGCCTTATCCGCCTCTCGGTGTTTATACACACTGCTGGGTGTCTCCCTCCCCGCCCAGCAACGCCCCCGCCACGAGGGACTGCCTCCCACGTGACTGCTGCCAGCAACCATTTGGCGTTGAGGTCACCATGCAGGCCCGTCCCTCTTGCCAGGATCAAACATGGCGCCCAGCGTTAGTCATAGGCTTGCCTCCGCCCCGAAGCCCAAGAGGAATTGACTATTGGATCAGAGTGACCGGAAGTTTTGCTCTGATTGGTCCGTTGACTGTCCCGCCCGCCGCAGGGCCCTGCCCAAGCCGAGGGCTAACAGCCCCCGCCTCCGCTTACAGGGGCTGGCGGGGAGGAGGGTCAGCCGCTGGGTGTGAAGAGCGATAAATTTTGGACCTGCTTTCTTCCAAATATCTTTCTAGGCTTTATTTGGAGCAGGGTGGTGACCTTAGCTCGCCTGTTGGCAGGCGGGATGGCGCTGCTGAGGGAACGAGGGAGAGGAGGTCGGCCCCGGCATCCAGCAGGGCTCTGCCGGTTCCCCCTCTCCCTTCTGGGCCTGCTGTCGTTAACAGTCTCAGGGTTTGGAGTAACAGACTGCAGCCCAACCTCATGCCACAGCTGTGCCGATGTCCCCGTGGTTGCAGCAGGCGATGCCAAGCTAGAGAACTTGAGGAAATAATACGCTCACTTGAGGCGGCATGCAGTGAAATAAGAAATGGAAGGCAAAGCAGTGGGAACAGGCCTGTTGGTATTGGCATCTGTTAGCACAAATGTGTGGGCAGAGGGAGGAAGAGATGGTTTTTCTGATGCAACACAGCTGGGCTGCTGGAAGGGCCAACTCTGTACAAGTTTCGCCTGTGGGGCAGCTTTGGTATGTTTCTCCCACAAATCCCTAGTTGTATGTATTTGGAGCATATCAGTGATGTAATATGTTTAGTGTAGAAATAGTCAAAGTAAACGCTTAGCATGTGCTTCTGTGACCTTGGTGGTTTTGGCTATATCTATGTTATTACTACAGAAAGTGTTTGTGTTAGAGCTGCAGTTATGTTAGTACATCTGTATATCATACCAGCGTAGAAAAAACAGCAAGAGAAAGAAGTTACATTTCACCTTTATACCAGTGTAATTATATTAACACTTGTGGCACAGCTGGCAGTACAGCTGTATCAGTCAGGTATTAAACAGCTTTTTACTTCTGCTTGATGTAGCTGTACCAGCTGAAGTCTGCAGTGTAGATGTGGTGTTCTCCTGACCTCTCACATCTCTTTTAATTACATGGAACAACTCATTTCAAATACATCTGGGTTTTCAAAGCATTGCAGCTTTATTACCTGATTTTATGGCCATCTTGACTGAAACTCAAACAGCTAACTGACCTGTATAATGTTGCATAATGATTTTTATGTTAGTTATCTAATTGCAAAATAAACATGCATATGCACCTGGTTGCATATGTGTACAAATAGATCTTGCCTCTTTGTTTGTATAAGTACCTAGTGCTCTTCTGGTACAAGAATATGTTTGATTAATTTTTCTGTAGCTGGCAAGGAAGGCTTCTTGAGCTTATGTTAAATTACTCATTTCAGATGTGCAGTCTTGGGAAGCTGCCATAAGGAACGGGAAAATGGCTTATGGTCTAATTTACTTGCCCTTTTTCAGGTTAATCATAATCCTGCTTTCTTCTCTTGACTTTATGGCTCCATCCATTTCTGTTCCAGAAATGAGTCAAGGGTGTCACTTGAACTCTGTTGTAGTCTTTGTTTTGAGATCACTTTTCCTGATAATTCATTCCATATGTTTACCATTTGTGTGAGCTTTCCCTGGGCTTCAAAACATAAAATGAGAAGAAATAACTTAACTTTATTAATTCCCACCCCCATACTCTAGTCACCCTGGTTTTTTCTACTTGCTTTCTTTCTTAAAGACCTCCTTGTTGTTGCACTGAAGACTAGCCCATCACACGGTTAGCAAGATTTGTGACCCAGACCTATTTTAAGCCTTGTTAAGTTCCAGATTTACTCATAGTTCCCTAATTTTTAAATCTACCGCTAATAGGAAGCATAATGCAGAACAGACTCCTTCACTGAAACAAGTCTGGCTTCAGCGCTGTTCCAGCCTGGAGTCTGAGGATTCCACAGCTTGTGCCTCATCGAAACCAGACACACCGCTTCGCCTAATCAGAGCCATAGATCAGGGGTTCTTGATGTGTGGGTAGCAATGCCGCAGGGAGCACACAGACGTTTATTGTCCTTCTGTATGGGGAGAGCTATGAAAACGGGGAGTTCAGGAGGAACAGCCTACCTGAATCTGCAGAGAGCTTACAGCGACACAGATGTAGGATGAATAAAGTTTCCCGTTCAGGGGTAGCATCTCCACCACCTTGCTCCCTTGAAGAAATCCAACATAGCCAGTGTACTGGGAAATCCAGTGTTTTCCCATGAAATTTTCCACTTTTCTGCAGCCATGCTTTTAGAACTTAGATTCTAGGAGAAGAAGGAAATAGGACCTGTGTGCAGCTGCCGCTTGTTCTCTACATGGTCTTTAATAGAAAATTGATTGGATTACAGTGTATGCTCCCCACACTGCTCCCTGCACTGTTTCATGCTGGCAGCAGTTGCCTTGTTGAGGCTACTCTGTGTTCTCATCTGTTTATCCCCTTGACTGACTGTCTTCTTTTGACAGATTCAAAACAAAATAGCTAGTCAATAATCAGAATATTTATATTTTTTAATTATTTAATTACATTAAACAGTAGTTGGCAAAAATTTCTGGCATGCACATATAGCTGTTAAACAGAAGGAGCACAGACTTTCTTTACAGAAGCACTTTCTTTACAAAGAAATGCAAAAACTTCTGGATTTTAAAAAAGTCAGGAAATTATGTTATTGAATGACAGTGCTCTAAACATGACAACTCTTTATGCATTTTGACTGTGGTTGCTGCACTGAAGAAAAGCTGCGGTGCCTCTAACAATGGAAAAACATATTCTGAACCATTTGTCCTCTGGCAAAGCATCATTAATGTTTTCTTAGGATTCACTACTACTGCTCAAGTTAAAATGACTTCCTCACAGGCAGAGATACATTCAGCAATTGGTTTGAGAATAAGTTTACAAATTAACTTTGAAGTGTAAAGAAGAGCTAGTACTTTGTGTAACAGCTCATTAAAATTTTGTATATCCTCTTGTATTCAGAATCCATCTCCATGAAAGCTTCCTCTTTTGCTGTCGTCTTACAGGCATTTTATACAGAAACAAAATCTCTGAAGCATTCAAGTAATGTTTGCACAGTTAAATTGCATTGCCTGTACTTTGTTAGGATGTGGAAACATGGTCTTGCACTTAGAATTCAGCCCGTCGAACATGAGCTGAACACACTCTTCAATATATGGGATGCTTTGATGATCATAAATGGAACTAACATGTACTCAGTGAGACTGAAAAGTTTTACACATCGAGTACTTTTTTTTTAATTAGGTTATATGATGAAAAATTGTTACAGCAGCCTTTTTTCTACACAGTTTGGAGACACTGTTTCATGTTCTGACTTACAAAACTGATGTACTTTTCTTTGTGAAGGCGACCTGCCATTAATGGAGTACTTCCCAGGTTGGTACTGTCTTGCCCTGAACGTTGCTTTCAGTAAGCCTATCATTCTGAGACCTCTGCCTGAGGATAGCAGTTGCCAACAGGTTGGAGAACACATGTCAAGAAACACAAGTCACTCCCTTCCCTCCCCATGTTTTCCCAGCTACACAACCGCAGAGCAGTGCTGAACTGAAAAAGATTGAGAATGGTCCCCTAGATTGTTTGCTATGCACCATATCATGACTAGCTGCTCAGCCTTCAGAACTATCATTTTTTATGCTGAAGTCTTCGCCTTTCCAAATATGGAGCAACAGGGCATAATTCTTCATTTTTGTACTTGAATATATTCCAACAGTGTCTAATTTTACCTAACTAAGAATTACCTCTGGAAAGAAAGACTGGTATCTTTCATTCTTAAAACTATAGGGTAATAAAAATAACTTTGAATTATGTTTTCTAAATATTACGTGTTGTGGGAAACATTTTTGCATAAGTATTTCTTCTTACCTGAGCATCCACTAATTTGTATAGGATTGTGCATTATCCAGTATTTTATTGGACAAAAAATTATTCTAGCTCATCAAGTTCAGTAACTTGTTTAAAAAAACCTTTTATTAAGAAAACTCATATCAGATAAAGACATCAGAGTTTCTCTAAGATCCTGTTCTGTTGATTTTCCAGCTGGACTGATTCAAATGCAACATCCTGAAAGTTAGTTTTGGCACAGGTGTGAGATGTCAGTGGACATTTTGTCTCACTAAAGTCTATGAAATCAAGCCAAAGATAACTTCCCAAGTATCACAGATTACGACCTCTGCTGCTTATCATACAAATAGTTCCAATGAAGTGTGGACACAACCAGATGAATAAGAGTTGTGAGGTTTCAGCTCATACTAAACCCATTTGTTCCTGTTTGTATCTAACTTTTTGTTCTTGGCCATCTTAAATACTAAAGAAATGAAGACTCTTCCTCTCCCTATTTCTCCTTTTCAAAATGTGTAGAGATGTCCTGATGGGTCTTCTGCAGCTGACCATGGTTTTAAGAAGGAAGTGGGAAGGGAAGCTCAGTTTGACTGGAGCCAATAATTAAATATTACATAAACTTTTCTTTACCCTGTATGTAATCTCAATATCTAATGACTATTTTGGAGCAGTTAAGTCTTCATAACTCTGAGGTGAGTAACCATGCATAAACATCCTGTTGCATTCTGCAGAAGTAAAAGCAAAACTTCATCATTCTTTCAAAGGTAGATGAAATAAAATGTAGGTACCTCTTATCTAAATTTAGTGCTCTTTGTAGTTCTTTTAGCCTTTTATTAACAATGATATAGTTTATTGAGTCATATTTT